AAAGGAACCATGTGCACATGGATTGCACGTGCGTCGGCTGTAACTTGCAAACTGGGTTTCCGATGCAGTGCAAAGCAAGCAGTGTTGAGCCATCCACTTGGGGACGCCCCTCTGCGCATCCCCAGGAAGTGTGACTCCAACGGGACAAGGAACTAATTTAGAGTCCAGTCAGGCACCTTTAAGACCAACAAAGGTTTATTCAAGGTGTGAGCTTCTTCAGATGCACTGGAATGGAAGGTAACAGTTCAAACTTATAGCCGGCGAACGAATAGCAAATTAACACGTAACTGATGAAGATGTTTTAAGACAGGGGTGTCGAACTCATTTGTTATGAGGGCCAGATCTGACATAAATGAGACCTTGCCGGGCCGGGCCACGTATGTCATAAACAATACTTCCTCTAAGCTGTGGATTTTTGTGAGCAAAGATTCTACCTTGTGAGGGTTTGGCTGCTGCACGAATTAGTTTGCTCTGGAGCCCTCCTTCCTGAGCGAAGACAAATAGGTGTGAGCCGGCGGCTAAAAAACTGTGAGCTAGCTCACACTAACTCAGCTTAGAGGGAACACTGGTCATAAAACGTAATGCCAGGTAGCGGAGATACCAACTTTATAAAGGACACAAAAACAAAGGTGTGTTTTTTTAAAACTTAAAATAAAAACATGCTTTTAAACTTAAAATAAAAACATGCACTGGTATTTCTGGCCACTGTGTGATACAGAGTGTTGGACTGGATGGGCCTTTGGCCTGATCCAACATTGGCATCTCTTATGTTCTTATGTTAAAACATTAGCACTGTCTGCAATATTTTGTTTATTTAACAGTGTCCGATAACTGACACCTCTGGCTCTGAATCATCACATCAAAATGTCTGTGCTCCTGCAGTCTTGAGTCTGCTGTTCAGCTGTGTAGCTGTAAGCTGCAGACCTACGATGACGCAGCAGCAGCAGAACTGGAAGAAGAAGCAGCAGAAGGCAGCCAGTTCCACTGCGGGCCTGGATAGGAGCCCTCCGGGGGCCTGATCTGGCCCCCGGGCCACATGTTTGACACCCCTGTTTTAAGACACGCCCAGTAAAATGTAAAATGTTAATTTGCTGTTAATTCCCTGTCTGTAAGTTCGGACCTTACCTGCCATTCCAGTGTATTTGAGAAAGTGTGCCTCGTGCACACAACAGCTCACACCTTGAATAAACCCTGCGGCTTCACCCACACGGCTGCCCCACCTGGGACTAGGAACTGGCAGCCGGCACAGGGCCCCCCTTCTTTGCCTCCGCGGATGAAATCTGGGAAGGAGATTCGGTGGTCTTCTGCCGCCCTCCTCTGTGTTCAGAGCTGACCTTGCTGTGGCCACGTAAGCCAACTTCCTGGGGTGTGATGATGCTGTCCAGTCCAATGTTCCCTCTAAGCTGTGGAGTCTCGTGAGCAGAAATTCTACTTTGTGAGCTACCGGCATTAAAGTTGTGAGCGAGCCATTTGGCTGCTGCATAAATTAGTTTGCTTTGGAGCCCCATCCTTCCTGAGCGAAGAAAACAATGTGTGAGCTGGAGGCTAAAAAACTGTGAGCTAGCTCACACTAACTCAGCTTAGAGGGAACACTCCCCCCCCCCGGCTGCATGGCCCCTTGTGCCCGCCTAAGGCTCACCGGCCCCGGGGCACCAATTAACTCTTGCCTCCGCGGCCCAGAACAAAACAGAAAACCCAAAGTCCAACCGCTGAGGTTGAAAGCCACAGAAACTGATGCAAGTATCGGCATACCGCTGAGTCCAGATGAGGACACGGGGCGGGTCCGTTCCCCGGGGCTTTGGCATCTGATGGATGAAATTGGCAGACCTGGGGGAGGAGGGTGGGGCAGGGACCGCGTTAATGATGGGGCAGGGGGCGGGTGGAGGTTCCTGGCCTCTCTTCCGGGGCCCAGCGGCGGCCTTGGGCAACTGCAGCGGCCAGGAATGCGAGAGGTGCTGCGCTGGCACCGGAACAGCCGATAGGGGAGGCCGGGGCACCAATTAATCACCAAATCCTCCGGAAATTGGCCTTCATTCACCACCCACACGGAGTCCCTAGTCAGGCACCGAGGCCTTCCCGCATGAGCTGGACTGCTGCTGCCCTCGAAGGGTTTTGGTGTGCGCAAAATATGTCCGGTCAGCTAAACATTAAGAAGAACTTCCTGATAGTCATAGCGGTTCCTCAGTGGAACAGGCTTCCTCGGGAGGTAGTGGTGGGCTCTCCTTTGGAGGTTTTCAAACAGAGGCTCGATGGCCCCATCTGACAGCCATGCTGATCCTGTGAACTCGGACAGATCATGCGAAGGGAGGGCAGGAAGGGCTGCTTCGGTGCTGAGTTCTCGTGGCCCTTCCTGACACGGCCCGGGGAAATGCTGATCGCCACGTTGGGGTCCGGAAGCAATTTCCCTCCAGGCCAGTTTGGCCAGGGACCCTGGAGGTTTTCTTTTGCCATCTTCTGGGCATGGAGCAGGGGTCACTGGGGGTGTGGAGGGAGGAGTTATTCGTGAATTTCCTGCCTTGTGCAGGGGGTTGGACTAGATGACCTCGGAGGTCCTTTCCATGGTTCTATCATTCTAGCATCCCCTTACTGATTGCTTGGAGAATCCACACCGCTTGCAGCTGCCGGGGGCCCAGGATTGCCGGTGGGGCCCACTGCGGCTGACCCAGGCCCCTCCCCTGTGTGCACCCACGCTCCCAACTGCCCGGAGTCACTGAGAGAGTGCATGTGGGTGGTGCCGAAGGGGTGTGTGTGTTAACGGCAGTGGAACTTCCAGCTGTATCCACCGGCCAAGGCTGCTGGGGAGAGGGGGGGGGGAAGAGGAGACACAGGCAGGGAGGGGCACGCAGGTGTGGGGCGGGAAGGACGGCAGGAGGAGGGGGCTGGTGGTGGGCGGGTGGGGGCCTCAGCTACTGTGTACTTGGAGAACTGGAACAGGCCCTGACTTCCCTGCTCCCACCTGCCAGGTAGCCCTGTCATAAGATCTGGAATGTGGAGGGGGCCCCTCCTTCTCATTCTCGGCTCTTTCCTGCCCAGCTACTGTGTGCTATCTTACGCTTGGCCTTGCAGATGTTCCAGCTGCAGCTTCCATGGCTGGGAAAGTAAACGGCTTTTCTGCTATGCCCGCTTGCTTTGCCAAGTGCGTGAACTATATCCATTGGCTTGTGCTTATGGGGGGGGGGGATGTTTAGTTTCACTATAAGTCAGAGGCCCCTCTATTGAAGGCTGTTTCCGACACAAGCTGTACACGTGTTCTTTAGTACTGGAACCACTAATAAACAGTTATCTTCTTATGAAGCCCTGTGTGGTGTGACCTGACTAAGGAGCCTGACAAAGTGCCCTCTCTCTCGGCAGAAGGGCCTCCCCCCCTACGCATGTCACGCCAAAAGGGCAGACGGCGCCTTGAAGGGCTGTCCCGCTGAATGGCAAGAGCTGAGCATATGGGGGGGGGAAGCAAATGGAGGCTCTCCTGCTGGACCAGAGGCAGGCCCGTATCCTGGATTATTTTGTTTGGGACATTTAGATATTTCAGGGGGGCAGTTACATTACAGTTAATTAAAATTAATCGGAATGCCTGTCTTTAAAGGGGGAGGCTCCGAGCCTGTTTCTAGACCTTCCTTTCAAGAAGAAGAAGAAGAAGAGGAGGAGGAGGAGATTGGATTTATACCCCATGGCCCTTCACTACCCAAGGGAGTCTCAGAGCAGCTTACAAACTCCTTTCCCTTCCCCTCCCCACAACAGACACCTCCTGTGAGGTTGGTGGGGCTGAGAGAACTCTGACAGAAATGGCTCTTTTTTTCAAGGACAGCTCTTGTCAGAACTATGGCTTGCCCGAGGTCATCCAGCAGGTGCAAGTGGAGGAGTGGGGAATCAGACCCGGTTCTCCCAGATTGAGAGCTCTGACAGAAACTGCCCGCACATTTAACCACTACACCAAACTAGCTCCATAGTGTACAAAGAAGAAGAAAGAGACTGGATTTATGCCCCATGGCCCTTCACTACCCAAGGGAGTCTCAGAGCAGCTTACAAACTCCTTTCCCTTCCCCTCCCCACAACAGGCACCCTGTGAGGTAGGTGGGGCTGAGAGAGCTCTGACAGAAACCGTTCTTTTTCAAGGATAGCTGTTATCAGAACTACGGCTTGCCCAAGGTCATCCAGCCAGGTGCAAGTGGAGGAGGAGTGGGGAATCAAACCCAGTTCTCCCAGATTAGAGTCCACGCGACACCAAACTGGCTCAAGGGACAGGGCTGCAAGTGCATCAACATTTAATCGCCTTCAGAAGACATCTCAACGCCTTTTGGGTTCCCTTCCACAGTGCAAGGAAACTTAGCAGGGCACCTTCAATACATCTCCAACAAACCCCCTTTTCTGCCAGCCCAGTCCTGCTGTAGACCGCCTGGGTTATGGTGAGTCTTCCCAAAGCATTTCCATGAGCCTGTGGGAAACATGCAAATTAATTCATCAATACCACCATGGCCCAGGCGGTCTACAGCAGGAACGGGCTGGCAGAAAAGGGGGATTGCCTTCGGAGCAATCTCCGCCCAGGTCCCATGCAATGCTCCCTCTAAGCTGAGTTAGTGTGAGCCGGCTCACTGTTTTTTTAGCCTCCGGCTCACACATTTTTGTCTCAGCTCTGGAAGGATGTGGCTCCGGAGCAGACTAATGCATGCAGCATAGCCAAATCGCTCGCTCACTTCCATGCCAGCAGCTCACAGAGTAGTACTTTTGCTCACAAGACTCCACGGCTTAGCGGGAGCAATGCCCTCCCCCCAAATTCCACAGTGGGAGAGAGAGAGGGAAGCCCCCTGCTCTGCCTGAGGAGACCCAAGGAGCGCCCGCCAGGCAGCAGAGGCAGGGCTCTCGGAGATAGCCTCCTGCAAAGCCATGCCGTTCCCACGCAGCTTCCTTGCACGGCCACCCCCCCCCCCCCCCCCGGTCAGGCTCCTCACAGCCACCCCCACCGGTGCCGCCTGGGACCCCGTTCCACCGCTCCTTCCGCCCACCTTCGCAATCCGCCTGCCCGGAATTCCCAGCGGGTCCTGGTCGATGTAGATCAGCAGCGGGTTGCGCAGGAGGTCCCTGGCCTCGGCCGAGATGGTCCCCAGGTTGCAGGACATGAAGAGCGGGGCCGCCAGGATCGCCCACAGCGCCAGCTGCGCTTTCGCCTGCTCGAAGCTCAGACCGGAGTTGCCCGCCAGCAGCTGAAAAAGAGACGGGGTGTGCGGCTCAGCGTGGCGTTCAGGGCGGGAAGTGTTCCCATGCCGCTCCTTAAGAGTAACGCTAAAGTACAGCTTCGACGACGGAAGCAAGGGGATGGACCTAAAGTGAAGAGGAACCCCAGGCCCGTTCGCTTGGCTTGCCAAAACCGTCAGCTCATTTCTAGGGTTTCACAGACACATGTGCTCTCTCTCTCCCTCTCTCTATGTCACCCGGAGGACCAATTTTTTTTGTGCATTTTTAAAAACCTATTTATTTTTTTGCCTGGGGGGAGAAAAACAAGATTGAAGCTTCCCTGACTGTACCTGGGGTCGTTTTGGAACACCCACATGCATCTTACATTTATTATTTTTTCTATTTTAATCCCCCCCAGAATTTTTTGATTGAGGGGGCAGCACTCATCTGTCGGGGGCATTGCCCCCAAATGCCCCCAATGGCTACAGGCCTGCAAGGACAGCCTTTGAAGGTTTCCAGAGGCCTTCCAGGGTTGCTAAGTTAGAGCCCCATCCGGGGTGGAGGACAAACCCGTCCACAGGAGTCACAGTCCACCAGGAAGTGTTCCGCCCCCGACTGAAACTCTTGGGAGCCACTCACCTGCATGACTGTGTCCCCCCCCCGCGAGAGGGCTGGCTTCTGCCTCCTGTCAACAGGGGTGACCTCATAGGCCTGGTTCAAGGGACAAGAACGGCAATTATCCCTTGACAGCCCTGAATGCAGAAACCTCTGCCCACAGATCTCCACAGGCTGGATAACAAAGCGATTGTCTTGCTTCGTATTAGGAAACTCCCTGACGACGAGAGCGGCCTAGGGCGGAGGAGCTAGCCGTTGCTCCCGAGATCGCAGCCGACACCGCGGCACGGACACTCATCCTGAAACTGCCGAGGGAAGGGAAGGGGGACCATGCTAGATTTCACCTGGGGGCAGGGAGGGGAGGCAGGTGGGTGAGCCGACCTGGCAGGGGAGGGTGAGGCTGGGAGACGAGGGCCTTGCGAGAAATGGAGGATTCGGGGCAGAGTCACTAACGGGAGATCAACCCGGGGGGCGGCGGATGTCCACTGCCTCAACCAAAAGACCGGTGGAAGAGCTCCGTCTTACAGGCCCAGCAGAATGGTCATAAATCCCACAGGGCCCTGGTCTCATATAGGAGCTCATTCCACCGGCCCCAGCCCTGGTCAAGGCAAGTCAGACGTCCCTGGCGCCGGGGACTACCAAGAGGTGTTCATTTGTAGACCTCCGTACCAGTGCTCCCTCTAAGCCACGGAGTCTTGTGAGCCAAAAATTCTGCTTTGTGAGCTACAGGCATTAAAGTGGTGAGCGAGCGACTTGGCTACTGCATGAATTAGTTTGCTCTGGAGCCCCATCCTTCCTGAGCCGAGACAAAAATGTGTGAGCCAGAGGCTAAAAAACTGTGAGCTGGCTCACACCAACTCGGCTTAGAGGGAACACTGGACCCAGGCCAACACTTTACCGGCTCCAAGGTACTTTGCCACACGCCCGATGGGGGGAAAAAATATTTTTTTAACAGATAATTTTTATTCTTTTTCACAAACAGCAAAGCTTTACAAGGTAAGCATGAGCACAGTCAGCTCTCAATGGCTTCATACATTTCGTAGAGGCGGCCACAATGGCATTGTATGTATATGGTACCCCACACTAGTACATCCATCTACCAAAGAAACAGTACCTGATGTAATAAATACTCTGCATCAGTGTTCCCTCTAAGCCGAGTCAGTGTGAACTAGCTCACAGTTTTTTAGCCTCCAGCTCACGCATTTGTGTCTCCGCTCAGGAAGGGACGGCTCCAGAGTAAACTAATGTATGCAGCCGCCAAATCGCTCGCTCACAACTTTAATGCCAGTGGCTCACAAAGTAGAATTTTTGCTCACCAGACTCCACCGCTTAGAGGGAGCATTGCTCTGCATCTATGGTCGTTTTCAAACTGTGTAATACTGACAAAAAATTTTTTTTTTGTGGGGAAAGGAAACGTTTGCCTTTCGTATCTGGTCAAAGTGTCTGTTTGTACATGCCCGTTAGCCAGCCTCCGATGGAGACCTGAATGGTTGAATGAACCATCGCTTGCGGAATCACCAAGCACAGAGAGCTTTCTTTGCACTGAGCCTCAGCTCAAGCACGGCGTTTTCCCACAGCAGGGATTGGTCGTCCGTTGATACCGATCTCTGTGCAATAACCTATACCTTTCCCGCGCAAAGAAAATCCCAACTTCAACCAGGGGTCATTTCCTGCAGGAGCGCACAGGAGCAGAGCTCCGGCAGTAAAGAGCCCAGGGGGCGGGCACATGCAACAAGCCCCACTCCCTGCTCCCAGCAGCCTCAGGCCATGAGGAGCAAGAAGCAGCCAGGTAAGTTGCAGTGGATGTTGCCTTCTGACACACTTCCGGTGATGTCAGGGGATGTGGCATACGCAAATAAGTTATCCTAATGAGTTATGCTAATGAGCTCCTGCACCTCTTTTTCTACGAAATGACCCCTGACTTCAACCAATGCTCCCTCTCAGCTGTAGAGTCCTGTGAGCAAAAATTCTGCTTTGTGTAAGGTAAAGGTAAAGGTTCCCTTGCTCGAAAGCCAGTCGAGTCCGACTCTAGGGTTGCGGTGCTCATCTCCGTTTCAAAGCCGAAGAGCCAGCGCTGTTTGAAGACATTTCCGTGGTCATGTGGCTGGCATGACTAAACACCAAGGCGCACGGAAAGCTGCTTTGTGAGCTACTAGCATTAAAGTTGTGAGTGAGCGATTGGGCTGCTGCGTAAATTCGTTTGCTCTGGAGCCATCCTTCCCGAGCTGAGACAAAAAGGTGTGAGCCGGAGGCTAAGAAACTGTGAGCTAGCTCATGCTAATTCAGTTTAGAGGGAGCAATGTGTACTATATGGGGCTCATATGGGGAGAGGCAGTCCTGAAGGCATGCTGGCCCCTGGCCATATGAGGCTTTGAAGGTAAGCACCAGCACCTTGAAATGTATCCGGTATTCCATAGGCAGCCGGTGCAGTTCACGCAGCCCTGGGTGGATACGAGCCTACACAGGCGTCGCTGTCAGCACCTGCACAGCCACATTCTGCGCTAGCTGCAACTTCCAGAGCTGAGTCAAGGGCTGCCCCATGTAGAGAGAGTCACAATAATCCAGTCTTGAAGTGACCGTTGCATGAGTCACTGTAGCTGGGCCCCCGGGGTGGAGATATGGGGCCAACTGCCTGGTCGGCCTCAGGCGGAAAAAGGCAGACCTGGCGGGGGCGGTGACCTGGGCCTACACAGAAAGGGTTGAGGCATCAAGGAACCAGGGGTCATTCCGTAGAAAAAGAGGTATAGGAGCTCATTAGCATAACTCATTAGCATAACTCATTTGCATGTGCCACACCCCCTGACATCACCGGAAGTGTGTCAGAAGGCAACACCCACCGCTCAGGCTCCACTGGACTCTTTTGGATTGCTTAGCTATTGAGGGGGGGGGACACACGACGTGCAGATCTGCCCTCGCAGAGGAGGGAGAGCTTGTACCTGAATAAAACTAGGTCTTAATGGTGCCACTGGACTGGGCTCTGCAACTTACCTGGCTGCTTCTTGCTCTGACTGAGGGCTGCTGGGAGCAGGGGGTGGGGCTTGTTGCACGTGGCCACCCCCTGGGCTCTTTACTGCCGGAGCTCCGCTCCTGTGCGCTCCTGCAGGAAATGACCCCTGCCAGGAACACACCCAAATTCTTCACCCTTGACGTTGGCACCAGTGGAGCCCCATTGAAGGCTGGGAGACCTCCGTCTTGGATGGATGTGACTTCCGTCGGCTCTGGCACAGCCATCCAGCCACAGCTTGTAATACCCGGTCCAGATCTGCTGGGGCCGCGTCCGGGCAGCCGTCCATCAGTAGACAGAGCTGGGTGTCATCCGCATACTGGTGACATCCCAGCCCACATACTGGTGACATCCTAGCCAGTTTGGTGCAGTGGTTAAGTGCGTGGACTCTAATCTGGGAGAACCGGGTTTGATTCCCCACTCCCCCACTTGCACCTGGCCGGATGATCTTGGGTAAGCCGTAGTTCTGATAAGAGCTGTTCTTGAAAGGGCAGTCCTGGAAAGAGCTCTCTAAGCCCCGCCTACCTCACAGGGTGTCTGTTGTGGGGAGGAGAAGGGAAAGGAGTTCGTAAGCCCCTCTGAGACTCCCAGTGAAGGGTGGGGTATAAATCCAATCTCCTCCTCCTCCCCTACACATACGTCCAGATAATCTGGGTAAGGGGGCGCATATAGATATTAAACAGCATAGGGGACAGAATTGCTCCCTGTGACACACCACATTCCAGTGGGGGCTGCTGGGATAATTCCCCCCCCCATGCACCACCCTCTGTCCCTGACCCTGGAGGAAGGAGTTCAGCCCCTGCAAGGCAAGCTCCCGTATCCCCCGCATCAGCGAAGCGGTGGGTTAACAGATCATGGTCAACCATACCGAACGCTGCTGACAGATCGAGACGTATCAGCAGCGCCGATCCGCCTCGGTCCGAATGTCTCCGAAGATCATCTACCAGAGTGACCGACACCATCTCCGTCCCGTGGGCAGGGCGGAAACCGGACTGGAAGGGGTCCAGGACTTTAGCCTCATCCAAGAAACAAACTTCCAAAGGAAGTTTAGAAAACTTATCGAGGGCCAAAAGTGAAAAACATAAGTAAGAGTGTTCATTACAAAGACATATAAAAACCTAGCAGGGGCCCAAATAAAGCCTCATGAAACGTTCCAAGTTACAAATACACACACACAAAAAGGACAGAATATGACCTGACGGGTTTCGGATCACAAGAGCCTTCTTCAGAGGTCAAATAGTGCAAAATACCCCAAGCTACAGTGTCCCTGTAACACATGTCAGGCAATTAACGATAAATAAAATAGGACCAAAACCGGAATGTTCCAATACGGGATTGGATGACACACCAAAAAGTTTCTATTTGGGGCCACAAATATATCTGGCTTTGTGTCAGAAGTAGTTTTATATACTGGAACTAATATGTACCTTCCCAGTTTAGGTCCTAAGAGTGCAAGTAAAATTGCATTGTCAGGGACGATGTGCCATCGATATGTAGCCTCCAAGAAATCATCCAAGAAAACCTGAAGCTACTACCTTATCCAGGAACAGTAAGTTAGACACTGGGCGGTAGTTATTAAGGGCTGCGGGGGTCCAAAGAAGATCTTTTAAGGAGAGGGTGGACCACCAAGGTAGCTTTGGGGCGCAATGTTCCCTCTAAGCCGTGGAATCTTGTGAGCAAAAATCCTACTTTGTGAGCTACCTTGGGAGGAAAGCGATGGCGAACCTAAACAGCATGATAAAAAGTAGAGACATCACCCTGCCAACAAAAGTCCGCATGGTCAAAGCAATGGTATTCCCAGTAGTCATGTATGGCTGCGAGAGGTGGACTATAAGGAAGGCCGAGCGCCGAAGAATAGATTCTTTTGCACTATGGTGCTGGAGAAGACTCTTGAGAGTCCCTTGGACTGCAAGAAGAGCAAATCAGTCACCCCTAAAGGAAATCAACCCTGACTGTTCCCTGGAAGGACAGATAATGAAACTGAAGCGCAAATACTTTGGCCACCAAATGAGAAGGGAGCACTCCCTGGAGAAGACCCTAATGCTGGGAAAGATTGAAGGTCAAAGAAGATGGGGACGGCAAAGGATGAGATGGTTAGAGAGTGTCAGAGATGCAACGAACATGAAATTGAGCCAACTTCAGAGGACGGCGGAAGACAGGAAGGCCTGGTGGGATCTGGTCCATGGGGTCGCGAAGAGTCGGACTCGACTGTGCGACTGAACAACAAAAGAGCCATCCTTCCCGAGCTGAGACAAAAATGTGTGAGCTGGAGGCTAAAAAATGGTGAGCTAGCTCACACTCACTCAGCTTAGAGGGAACACTGTTTGGGGGTTGCCTTCGATATCCACTTCTTAGGACCTGCGGTTAAGCAGGTGGATTTCTCCCAGGTCCACCCTAATTCTTCTCCGGGATGAAGTGGAGCCGTGGTAAGGGTGAGCTCTCCCAAGGGGCGAAAATGAGTCAGCTGAGGAGCCGATGGTACTTTGGTCACACTCTGAGAAGACAACAGCCCCTGGGAAAGACAGCCACGCTGGGAAAGGCTGAAGGCAGCAGTAAGATGGGATTGAGTCAGTCAGGGAAGCCAGGAGGGCCCTCCGCTTGCAAGACCCGAGCAAAGGCTGTTCAGGAGAGGACATCTGGGAGGTGTTATTGCCTCAGAGGGCTGCCTGAAGGCGGACGTGATTTGACGGCACGGAACAAACACGCACAGGTGGGAGCTTGGAAGGGGAGCGCCCTCTAGTGGCACCCTCGGGCAGGCAGGTGAGCAGGCCGTGGGGAGGGAAGGGGGGGTTCCTGCCTCTCCATCCCTCACTAGGCCAGATCGGCCCCCCAAATCAGACCGACTTTTTCTTTGCTCTGTGCCAACAGGGCCCCCCCCCCAAGTTATCTGAGCGACAATAATCATTGCTCTGCTGCGTCAGTCCGATCTCCAACATCCTGTCAACTTATTTTTATTTATACCTACATTTCTGCCAGCCTCGCAGTTCGAAAGCAAGAAACTGCAAGTAGATAAACAGGTGCCACTTTGGTGGGAAGGTAACAGCGTTCTGCGCGCCTCGGCGTCTAGTCATGCCGGCCACGTGACCACGGAGAGAAGGCTTCAGAAGGCGCTGGCTCTTCGGCTTGGAAACGGAGAGGAACACTGCAACCCTAGAGTCGGATTTGACTAGCTTTCGAGCAAGGGAAACCTTTACCCACCTGGCAGCCATTCCTCCCTTCCACCAGGTTTCTTTTTTTAGAAGAGAAGAGAAGAGATTGGATTTATATCCCGCCCTTCACTTGGAGTCTCAGAGCGGCTTACAAACTCCTTTCCCTTCCCCTCCCCACAACAGACACCCTGTGAGGCAGGTGGGGCTGAGAGAGCTCTGACAGAAACTGCTCTTTTTCAAGGACAGCTGTGCCAGAGCTTGTGACTGACCCAAGGTCACATCAGCAGGTGCAAGTGGAGGAGTGGGGGAATCAAACCCGGTTCTCCCAGATTAGAGTCCGCGCACTTAACCACTACACCAAACTGGCTCTCATAGGCAACTGAATATCCTTGTATCATTAGAGTGCAGCAAATCTGTGCAGCTGGTTCTCCAAATTCCCAGTTTTCATTAAAAAAAAATCCTAGCCCCTTTCATTGTGGAGTTATAAGGGAAAAGGCATATCTCTGCACCTAACTGGGACTTGCTTTTTTTTTTTTAAATTAAAAGCTGGGGATTCAGAAAACATGCTGCAGAAATTGTTATAATGATATTCAATGGCCAATTTTTAATTGCTTTTAAAAAAAAAGCCACAGTGGTGCGTGTGTGTGATGGGGGGAAAGAATAGTGGGGAAACCGGCCATGTGGACACTGCCTCATTGACGCTGTGCCGTACTGCCAGCTGCAGTAGCAATGGGGAAACCACGCAGGTCTGTCCCCACTTGGAAAAGACCTCTGGGGGGAAAGGCATTACGGGAGGAGACGGCGTTACCATGTCGGGATCATTCCACCTTCCTGGGCCGGCAGCAGGCTGCAGCGTGTCTTGATGGTCCCCGTACCACTCAATGACGCGAGAAAGACTTTCCCAGGAGTCTTCGATGTCAGCAAAATTCCTCCACAGGTTGCAGATCTGGCCGAGTAAAGTATAATTCACCTGGATCAAAATAACAGGGACAGATTCTGCTTTTACCACCAAGGTCACCAGCTAGCCATCGCCGTGCCCCATCTGGGCTGCCCCCCCCCCCCATGAGCAGAGCGGGAGCAAGTGGGGGGTTTGACAGAGATGGCCTCCGCATCCCCCCCCCACTGACAGGCTGTTTACCCCCAAACACTTGCAGAGGGGCTGTCTAGGCACAGAGTCAAACGCCTCTTTTTTCCGAGGCTTCCTTGAACTAATTGAGGTCTGTGATGTTTTAATGAAGTTGAACAGATTTCTGCATTTTGAACAAATTTCTTTCTTTATTCGATCTATTGCTTTTTCCAGTTTTTAGCCAGTTTTTATGATGGCTTCATTACACACAGCATTGTGGGTTTCTAATGGGGAACTCTGAAAGCTTAGGCATTTTCTAAAGACGTAAATGTCTCACTGCCCCTTCTGCAGACTGCCCTCCCACCAAACGCATTGCTGGACAGAGTTTCTCCCCACAGGATGCAAATCCCAGTCAGGAAACAAACAAACAAACAAACAAACAAAAAGCCACGGTGCAAACTCTGCCTCATAAAACAAGTTTGAGTCCAGAGGCACCTTTAAGACCAATGAAGTTTAATTCTGAGTATAAGCTTTTGTGTGCATGCACACTTCATCAGATAACATACATGTATCCAAAGAAGTGTGCCTGCACACGAAAGCTTCTACCCAGACTTAAACTTTGCTGGTCTTAAAGGTGCCACTGGACTCACACTTTGCTCTACTGCTTCAGACCAGCATAGTGACCCACCTGGATCTAGACAAGCAATGTATAGATTAAAAAAAATAAATATTGAGCTGCGGTGGCTCAAGTGGTTAAGACGCTGAACTGCAGGCTGTGGAAGGTCGGCAGTTCAGCAGTTCGAGACCCGGGTGTGCCACGTGATGGAGTGAGCTCCCGTCTCTAGTTCCAGCTCCTGCCAACCTAGCAGTTCGAATGCAAGACATTGCAAGGAGATAAATAGGTACCACTTTGGTGGGAAGGTAACAGCGTTCCGTGCGCCTTGGTGTCCAGTCATGCCGGTGGCCACATGACCACGGAAACGTCTTTGGACAGCGCTGGCTCTTCGGCTTGGAAACGGAGATGAGCACCGCAACCCTAGAGTCTGGCTTTCGAGCAAGGGAACCTTTACCTTTACCTTTAATGTATAGATTTTTCGTACACAATACAAGCAATGTTATTACCCCATAAGAGAATCACTATATAATACTCATATCACATCAAAGAATCTATTTAAACATGTAACAGAGAACTATGTACAAATCAAGGTATCACAACTCAATTGTGTAGCAACCAAGATCCAAAAACCAGTCCAAGAGATCACGGTCTTTAATATTGATGTACGCAGACCAATGAAGATGAAACGAAGACTCTGGATTATTCTAGACATTGTTTCGTGTAAACTTCTTCAAATCATGGGCTAACATATAATAATACTAATAATATTCTTACTTTCAAGAGTAAGACAAAAATGATCATATTATTTTTCGAAGAAGAGGAGGAGGAGGAGGAGGAGGAGGAGGAGGAAGAGATTGGATTTCTACCCCGCCCTTCACTACCCAAAGGAGTCTCAGAGCAGCTGACAAACTCCTTTCCCTTCCCCTCCCCACAACAAACACCTTGTGAGGCACGTGGGGCCGAGAGAGCTCTTGACAGGAACTGTTCCTTTTCAAGAACAGCTCTTATCAGAGCTAGGCTTGCCCAAGGTCATCCAGCCAGGTGCAAGTGGAGGAGTTGGGAATCAAACCCGGTTCTCCCAGATTAGAGTCCACGCACTTAACCACGACACCAAACTGGCTCTAATTATTGTCTTCGTCTTGAGTTGTGATACCTTGATTTGTACATAGTTCTCCATTACGTGTTTAAATAGATTCTTTCTTACTGGATGATAGCATTGCTCGTACGGTTTATTGAAAATAAGCATTGTGTGTTGCGATTACCTTAAAGAAAGGCAATGCATTCTTCATTAGTTAGTGTCTTTTTGGCACAATATTACAATTCTTGTGGTTACCCGATTATATCATGACACGCCCGCTGGTTGTCCACCTGAATCGACACCTGATAAAAAAGGGTGTCAGAAGCAATGCAGACGACAAACGCCGCCCCCCTCCCAGTGTTATCGGTTCCGGGGTCAGGGCAGTTTTCTTTACCTCACTTATACCCTGCCTTTCTCCAATGCTCCCTCTAAGCTGTGGAGTCTTGTGAGCAAAAATTATCCTTAGTGAGCTCCTGGCCTTAAAGTTGTGAGCGAGTGATTTGGCTATACTGCATAAATCAGTTTGCTCTGGAGCCCTCCTTCCTGAGCGAAGACAAAAATGCGTGAGCCGGAGGCTAAAAAACTGTGAGCTGGCCCACACTAACTGAGCTAAGAGGGAACACTGGTGGGGACTCGAACCTGATTCTCACACTGACTCAGCTTAGAGGGAACATTGGTGGGGACCCAACGCGCCGTACCCCCTTCCCGTCCCTTCCATTTCATCCTTACAACCACCCTGTGAGGTAGGTTCAGCCGAGAGTATGTCAGCAGACACCTTCCCATGGATCAACACTATCTTCATTGCTGTAGGAAGGAGCCTCGCTGTGGAGAGCCAGTTTGGTGTCGTGGTTAGGAGCGCAGACTCTAACCTGGGAGAACCACGTTTGATTCCCCACTTCTCCGCATGCACCTGCTGGTGTGACCTTGGGTCAGTCACAAGTTCTCTTGGAGCTGTTTTCTCAAGGACAGTTCTCAAGAGAGCTCTCCCAGCCCCACCTACCTCACAGGGTATCTGTTGTGGGGAGGGGAGGGGAAGGGAAAGGAGATGGTAAGCTGCTCTGAGGCGCCGTCGGGTAGTGAAGGGCGGGATGCAAATCCACCCTCCTCCCTCCTCCTCCTTCCAAACCACACAGCTTGGTTTTACAGATGCTCCAGTAACACTTTAGTAGGCTAGAAGTTCCAGGTAACCACGTTGATCCAAAGAAAAGTCCAAAAACGAACCCCACGTTATACCCTTTTTACGAAGACCAACCACAGGGTGTGGCAAGCCCAAGGTCACCCAGCGAGCTACCGTGGCCGAGGGGGGGGGATTCGAACCCGGGTCTCCCAGATCATAGCTTGACCCTCGAACCACCAACACCCCACTGGCCCCTCGTTACCTCTGGGGGCAGGCCTCCTTCGTAGGCAGGCCAGCTGCAGGAGTAGACAATCGGCCGTCCTGTTTTGTTCAAGGCCGCGCTCATCTTTGGGTAGCCTAAGGAAGGAGAAAGAGGCAGGGCTCACCGCTCGCGCTTTTACTCATTTACAGTCTCCTCCCCAGTCCTCCCCCAGTGGGGGGGGGGACACCCAAAGCAGCATACAGCTTCGTTCTTCTCCTCTCTTCCGTTTTATCCTCACAACAGCCCTGTGAGGTGGGCGAGGCGGAGCGCATGTGGCAGAGTGGGCACCCTGGGCACCCAAGTGAGCTTCCGTGGCAGAGTGGGGGGACCGATGCTCCCTCTAAGCTGTGGAGAGTCCTGTGAGCAAAGATTCTACTTTGCGAGCTGCCGGCATTAAAGTGGCGAGCGAGCGGTTTGGCTCCTGCATCCATTAGTTTGCCTCTGGAGCCCCATCCTTCCCTGAGCCGAGACAAACGTGCATGAGCCGGAGGTTAAAAAACTGTGAGCCGGCTCACACGAACTCAACTTAGAGGGAACGCTGCTGCCGGGGACTGGACCCGGCACTGTAGCTGCGGGGCTGCCACCCCGCCCCGGACACCAACCGGCGGCCTTGGCCGAGGAGTTGGAGAAGCAGCCGTCCAGCTTCAGCATGTCCACGCCCCACTCCGCAAAGGTCCTGGCGTCCGTCTCGATGTCGTCCAGCGTGGTCCCCGGGTAGCCCTCGCAGGTGAGGTTGCCCAGGTCACTGTAGATGCCGAACTTCAGGCCTTTGGAATGGACCTGCGGCAGGAAGGGGGCAGCTTAGCAGGCGGAGGGAACCGCGTTCGATCCATCCCCACCTCCAGGGAAAAGGATCTTGGATGAGCTGGGCTGGGAGCCGAACGTGTTTTTCCCTTTTCCTTACTCTCTTTCTGGTTTCCTGTGGGAACGTCTCTCTCTATAGCAAGATTTATTGCAGCATTAAGTGTGTTCCGTGTAGTTTCTACGCCCATTTAACTGTCACCCAGCCATTCTTCAGGCTTGGTTGCCATGGGAAAGGGCCAGAAGAAGAATGTAAACTTCCGTTTCTAGTAACTGTGCTGTTCACTTGCTGTTATCTCTCCCAGACACTCAGGTGTGTAACCCTGAGATCTTCCCTGGTATCCCCTTTCCCCTGTGAATTAGATGCCCTTAGTTAGGCGGGCTTTTGCTTTAATATGATTGGTCCCGGGCCATCAGAGTCTTATTTGATTTAGGTATAATTACTGGCTTCGCACGCTTGCTCCCCAGTTCTAACACGGACTCCGTCCAGGGTCCAGATCCTATTACTGCCTCAATAAACGTTTATTCTTCTGAATGAGTGTTGTTGGGAACTGATTTCTCCAGGGACTCTGACACATTAAGTGTGTTCCCTGTAGTTTCTACGCCCATTTAATGTGCCACGTTCAAATGCTAATGCTTTGTGTCAGGTTTGTTTCGGCTCGGTTTGGGAGTTTTGCTGTTTCCAAGATTTTCTGCAGTCCGAACCCTACTGCATGCTTATTACAGAATCATAGAATGTTAGAGCTGGAAGGGACCTTCCAGGTCATCTAGTCCAACCCCCTGCACTCTGCAGGAGCAGAGCCGAAAGACAGCCCTACATACCTACAACATACCCGAAAGATGGTCCGCTTGGAAACGTCCAGCAAAGGAGCATCCACCACCTCCCGACACAGACTGTTCCACTGCTCAACCACTCTTACAGTCAGGAAGTTTCTCCTGATATTTAGCCGGTAATGACTCCCTTGTAATTCCCACCCGTTAGAACTAGTCTTGCAATCCGTAGCAAGAGAGAATAGATCTGCTCCATCTCCTACATGACAGCCCTTCAGATATTGGAAGACTGCAATCATGTCCCCTCTAAGCCTTCTCTTTCCCAGGCTAAACATACCCAGCTCTTTCAGCCTTTCCTCCTAAGACTTGGACTCCAGCCCTCTCACCATCCTGGTTGCCCTCTTCTGGACACGCTCGAGCTTGTCAACATCCTTCCTAAAATGTGGTGCCCAAAACTGGACACAGGACTCCAGGTGAGGCCTGACCATAGCAGAATAGAGCGGACCCACCACCTCCCGTGATCTGGACACAATGCTTCTGTTAATGCATCCTAAGACTGCATTAGCTTTCTTCACAGCCACATCGCACTGCAGGCTCATGTTTAGACTTCATTGGATGTCCCATCCAGTTCTGAGGCTACGTACTTCACCTTGAGTCTCAGTTAGGAAGGCGGACTACAAATATTGTGAATTAAACCAATACAATCCACAGCTCAGAAGTTAATAAAGTGGGGCCCTGGCACGAATGAACACAAAAACTGCACTGGGACCTTCATTTCGGACGACCACATTGATGGCCAGTACTCTGGGAAGTGTGGAGAGAAGGGCAGCTGTAATCAAGACACGCAGGAAGGTTTCTTCCGCGACATTTGGACGTCACAGATGCTGGCCTGCAGAACCACAGGAGCTGTGCTAGCAAGCCTTCTGTGAACAGACCTCGCACCCTGCACCCACCTGCAGAAGAGATGCACATTTTGTCTCCTGCGTGAGAGGGACCAGGGGACCAGCTGTCTCTTCCCATTTTAAACTGTTATTTCAAGGTTTTTTGCTTACCAATGACCCAAATCAAACAGGGGGGGGGGAATTACTTTCCAACAGTTAATACGTGTCCCCTTGTTCGGCAGTTATTTCCGGATCTAGCCCTGTCATTCCGCTGCAGCATAAAAACCATCCGGCTGGCTAACGTCACAGTAGCCTTTCCTTTCCGCTTCTAAATCCAAACATTTCCAGAGAGAACCAAAGTCTTTGGAGCGAGGCACTGGATCAAACTTACGTAATCCGCCAGCGCTTTAATGCCGCTGGGAAACCTCGACGCATTGGCCTGGAGCCTGCCCAGAGAGTCCCTTTCTTTGGCCGCCCAGCAGTCGTCCAGGTTCACGTAGTTGTACCCGAGCTCTTTCCAGCCATCTTCGGCCAACCGGTCTGCCATCGCCTTGATCAAGCGTTCGCTGTTAAAAACAATATATTAACTAGGTGAACAAAGTGTGAGTCCAGTTGGGCACCTTGAAGACCAACAAAGTTTTATTATAATAATAATAATATTTATTTCGGCTTGCATGACCAAAAGTCTTAAGCACACTTATGCACACTTACACACACTTATAAAGGTACCATCCATTTAAAAAATAAAAATAAAAATCAGGACTTATTTAAAACATCTCAATCACAAACAGTAAAGTGCATTGTCCAAATATGAGTGTATTGTCCAAATATGAGTTTGGTGTAGTGATAAATCCTCCAGCAGATAAACACAGTATAAAATCAGAAAGGTTTAAACTTTCCCCTCCTTTTCCCTTTTTCTGTTTGCCACCAGGGCCAGAAACATGGCTACTGCTTTAGTAACTGAATTATCAACTTTATCAGATAAGTGGACAGAAATTGACCAGGGAAGGGAGGGAAGCTTTTCTTTTATCAGTATAGGTATAATATACTTCTGCCTCTCCATATTCCAGTTGGGACAAGCTAGCAATATATGGTCCATCGTCTCCACCCTACCTTGATTACAATCGCATGTCCGTTCGGAGAACGGGATGCCATGAAAGCGGCCAGAAACTATGTTCGACGGGAACGTATTCAGCCTAGCCAATGTGAAGGCTCTCCGGAGTGCTGGGCTTTTGAGAGAGTAACAGTAAGTAGGGATCACAGCCGGCGGTGGAAGGCCGAGGGATAGGCCCGAGCAGGTTCGCCGAGCTCTGCAGAGTGTACTGCCAAAGTCCAGTTCCCTTAATTTTGTTTTTATGAGTTTAAAGACCTCGTTTTGCTGTAAGGAGGTAATACCAATGTTCAAGGATTCTAATTTGGATTCAAT